GCCAAGAACGCCCAGCGGACGGGATCCCACTTCTGAAACCATTCCCGTGCACGCAGCGAGAGTACCAGCCACGTGCAATGGGGTGGGTAAAGCACGCGCGTCAGCGGAATAATCAGAAGCAGAACAAGGTAAGCGGTGGAACATTCCGCGCAGCGGGACATCGTCCCTTGTTTATTTCTTTACGCGAATTTGTTTGTTTTATATACTTCTGGCTGCCACATACAGGGACGTCATTTGGCGGCGCTCTACAGTGCATGTCGTGTCTGAAACTGCTAAAATAAACAGTTCGTACCAAACCTGTGTTTTAGTTACTTCCATCGTGGGACCGGACATTTCATAGAACGCCGTTTCGTCGAACGCCGTTTCATCGAAGCCGTTTCATTGAATCCCGTTTCATCGAACGCTGTTTTATCGAACACCGTTTCATCGAAGCCGTTTCATCGAACGCCGTTTTATGGAACGCCGTCTTATCGAACTCTAGGGTGGCATGCCCGCTTCCTGAAGCTGGTCGGAGGTGCCTATCCCGGGTTCTGGAAGTTTTTGACTTGCATTGCCGAACATCAACTGGTGGAAAAAAAGCTGGAGGCGATGCTGAGTTCCTAAGAGCCTCCTCGCCAGAAGAAGGCCGTAGCGGCAAGAAATGAGAAGTCCCGCCTTTTTTATGAGAACCGACGGAGCATGGCGTGGGGGACTTTTTGAGAGCAATCGCTCATCATTTGAAACGGTGAATGGCTGTCGCACGAACACATGAACCCCCGAAAGTTTTCAAATAAAATTTGAAGTGACGTACTTACTTTTGACTTCATTGAGTCTTAGAGCTAAAAAGACAATCTTTCGTTGTAGTTTCATAAATAGCACCCCAGCTTTAGCTACTGCAAGCTTCGGGCAGTAAAAAAGTATCAATAGCAAGACATGAGAGGCTAGGAGGCTCACATGGCTAAAGTTGTTGCGCCTGCGCAAAACCTAACTCGCCTTCTGGCCTCCATGAGTTGGAGTGCGCTTCTACCGGGAGTACAACGTTTTATTTATACGTTACAATACCCTCAAGTCCCATCGGGTAATACAGAGGGGGTGAACAGATAAGCACAATATGCTAAACAAACATAAAAATAGGTGCGAATACCCTCATGGGTTACTTGCATCAAAATAAATTCTAACAACTACAAGTTCGGACATTAAAAAACCTGACGATGAAATGGGTGAATGACACGAAAATGCGCTCGATCCGTGCATAAAAGAGCATCTTTCACACTTTTTATATAAAAGACATTCGATGAAACGGCCGTCAGCAATTCGATGAAACGTCCACTTTTTCGATGAAACGGCTTTCGACGAAATGGCGTTCGCTGAAATGTCCGGGAACCCTTCCATCGTACTTGCATGAGAGCAACTTGCCTTCGAAATAATACTGAAAAAGTATTTTTTTTTGTTTTTTTGAGTGTGTGTGTGTGTGTATGTGGGGGGGGGGGGGGGAGGTGGACAAAACGTCTTCCCCACGACGCCTAGGAAACGTACTGTGGAATGGTTTCTCGACGTTTTCTAAACGTCGTCGGTAGTCCGGATGTCGTAAACACACGTATTATAAACGTCGAAGGAGGACTCAACGGCCCACTGAGACGTGCATGTGACGTGTGACAAACGTCATTGGGAACGTTTTCTCAACCTTCTGTGCACCTTTTCTCGCGGACATTTAAAAGTTTCATCGACGTCGAAGGAAGGTAACGTCCGGACCTTCGACGTCGTACGACGTCACGTTACAGACGTCTTCGACGTTCTTTCGACGTTTGCTTCACGTATATGTGCCTCTATTGTACTATCGGGGAAAAATGAAATGCGAACAGAGGAGTCCGTGGCTCGCGGTACAGGTTGCGCCGCCTGGAAGTGAGCCTAGGGGCGAGGGTGCGTGGCCTACTTCGATGTGTTCACGCCCCTCGATTGGCGCTCCCTCAGCTTCGGCAGTGCTCCTCTCAATGCGCTGAAAGCTGTCACCGCTATCTTTGCGTACTCGGCGAGTGCGGCGAGCTTCTTCGCACCGCACGCGCTGAGCCAGCAAAGATAGCGGTGATAGCTTTCAGCGCACCAAGAGGCGCACTGCCGAAGCTTGGGGAGCGCAGAGGGAGGGGCGTGAAGACGTCGGAGTAGGCCACGCACCCTCGCTCCTAGGCTCACTTCCAGGCGGCGCAGCCTGTACCGCGAGCCACGCGCTCCTCTGTTCGCATTTCATTTTTCCCCGATAGTACGTTCAAAGCTTGAGTTCGGCTTCATGGTCTGGAGCTGTCTGAGTGCGGCAGGCTCGGAGAGGTTAGAACATGCACAGAGGAGGCTGTCATGCATTGCGTATAGCCGTTATTATGGTCGCCGGTTCTTTTTCTTTTTCCCCGAGTTAATGTTGCTTATGATGAAGTAGCAGACATTAGTAGCTCGGCGAAATTTTCGAGACTAAGTAGTTTTACACGAAGTCGTACATCGAAAAATAGGTTGTCCTCAACCGTGTCTCCGCTCTCTTTATTTGTTCTACGCTTGAGCAATCGCTACCCCAACACGTTCTATGTGCAGGGCCAATGTTGTTCACTTCTTCGATAGCGAACGCGCAATTCGAAAATGCCCTAAGCACTCAACTTTATTCATGTCAGTGTTTTGTGTGTGTGTGTGTTCGTGAACGTTTTTTGCTTTAGTTTGTTGTAAGAGTGCATTTGTGTGTACCAGCATTTAGGCATCGGCTGTTCCTGGACACACGAAAGAAAGAGTAAATAATTCCAATTTCCTGAAAAGTGCGCTCCAACGCCAGTCCGCCATTGCTTGTCCCACACACTGAGCATGTATTGGACGCGAGAGCTGCGTCGGGCCTCGGTGTGAATTCGGCTCGGCACATATTGGCGTCAGCGTTCGGCGAGGACTCGGATCCAATCGCGCGCTTCGTGCCCAAGCAATGGCGACCGCCAACGTTGCTCGGCTGACTTCCAGAAAGCGTGTATTATTCAACAATCGATCGTGGAATTTGAACCGAATGATTAATCATTTGCTTCGTTTTGTATAAAGACTGATAAAATTGTTAAAGCTTTGTGAAACAAAAAATATAAGAATATATTCCAGAAGAACACGGTTCCTCAATTTTCTATAGTCAATAAGTTTATAAAACAACTTTTTTAAATTATATTTACGTATATTTTAGCATAAAGTTAAATGCGGTGGCATGGCGGTAGAAGGGAGATGTGAAAAAAAAAAATGAAAGACGCCTACGAATCTCTGTAATGCGAAATTAGAGCGCAGCTCTTGAAGAGGAGGAGTTTAGGGAATGCCCCTCCTCCATACCACCTCCTCCTACCCTCCTCCTCTCCTCCTCCTCCTCAATCCCCTCCTCTTCCCTTCTTTTCCAATTCCGTTTTCCCGCTAAATTCAGCGGGGAAAATGACGCCGCATGACGGTGTCACGTCACCTATGAACAAATTCAGTTTCTCCGCTAGATTTAGCGGAAAAATTAACGTCACATGACCCAAACACAAATTCGATTTCCCGATAAATTTAGCGGGGAATCGAATTGGTGTTGAGGTCACGTGGCGTTAATTTTCTCGCTAAATATAGCGTGGTTACGCCGACGCCGCTCAACTTGGAAACGGGTGCCTAAGAGCTGCGCTCTAAAAGAAATATATATTTTCTTTTGACGTCACATTAAAAGGTTCTAATCACTGTTTAAGTAAACGAAGATTGTGACAGTTTTTGTTAGCACCCTGGGAATCTTAATTTGATTCTAATAATATAGAGTGTGTTTTCTTTAAACTGCGCGGTGCTTTACGGGCCCTCTGTTCCCCTTACCGCAAGCTCTATACTTCGTTTGATGTTAAGTCTCGACGCCGCCGTTGATACGAGCTGACAGTACCGATCAGACAACGTCGAAAGCACATTTATCTCAATGTTTAACTTGGTTTTGTAGAATTGTTTACAGCGTTTCAGTAATCAAGACACTAAAGAGTTGTGTTTTATTAATGTTAATAAGTGACTCATTCTAAATATTGTTTTCACTTTAAGCGTTAGATGGCTTTGTGGAAGCGTTGTACTCGTAACACGAATAACACTTTATTTACATACTATTTAGAGATATGCAGTAACATTTCACAAAGCTATTATAGGTGTGACATACAACACAAAATTAAAGCTTACTTAACACACATAGGCTTTGTCAATGTGACCTTTGCGTACAAGGCACATCTATCTCATCAGTATTAAATGAAACCCCCATTTTCCCAAAATGACGGTATTGTTTGGTATAATTCTTTTTTAAGAAGTCTAAATTACACAAATGAAAAAAAAAATGCATATCTACATTCCAAATTAGAACGTAATGTGTAAGCTATTTGTTTGGCGTATATTTGAAGATAGAACTATGCTGACAGTGTACAGAACATTTATCATTCATATAACGTTTTCGGTGTACTAGGCCAACTGGTACGGGTCTCTAGCCTTTCTGATACACCTTAGCACTCCTTGGTAAAAATAAATATTATTATTATTATTAACTTGAAAGACCCTAAGATGGTACTTTTATAAATCTAAGTAGTTTTCTAACGGCAGATATAATCCCGAAAAAAGAACAGCAGTCAACCTCAGACCTCTTTACGAATAAGGGACTATTAACCTACTCGAAAGTTATCAACCAGTAATTTTCGCTATCCGCCCTTCTGCTGAAAAAGACATGTGCACATAGCAATGAATAAAATTTTGCATATATTTCTTGATATATACTTGAATAAACACGTTTCACGAGGTTTGAGAGAAAGGCAATCACACTTAGAGGTGTTTTTGAATCGCAGCATGCCTTGTCCCGCGTCAATATAAGCATAAATTTATTTAAACTTATGTAACTTTTATCTTTTTTTTAATTTTCACAACATTCTAAAACATCTATCAGTCAACATCATCATCGACGTACATCTGGGCCTCCTTGTTCCCGTAAATTTAGTATCAATGGTAAGTGATCATCACCACATGAACGTGGTGAATCATCATGAGGCGTGTTTCTTATTTCGGTTGTACTTGACATTTTTTTCGTCCTCGAAAAATTGTTGGAAGCATTCCTGTAGTGCAGATCTGTTGGCGCACAATGAACTTGTGTCTCCACCTGTTTGGCGTAAGGAACGCAGATAGGGTTCAATAAACGTTTGTATGAAGTAGGACACTCTGATATAATGGTACGGATACGGATCCTCGTCGTAGATGCAATCCTGGGTTGATGACACTCCAAGGGCATCAAGGAACCATTGCCCACACTTCTGAAACATCAAGGGGGCCCCGCTGTCTCCCTGAAAAAAAGAGTATTCTATTCAGCATAATTATATATTAAGGACAAAACTTGTGGAATCAGCAAGGTGACTATCACAACAATTTCTGAAACCTTCAGCTACCACTCCGGGTTTTTTGTCTAGCTAATAAGAACCAACTTAAGAAAAATACCATCTAATAGTACTAATGTTGATTTCCTACAGGACATTGTTGTACTTTTGAAACTTTATTTTAAAAATACTTCTGGCAAATCTTGTTCGGTGCGGGACAGCCCGAGATTTTCTCGCAAATTTCGCCCACCACATTAAGCGCCAGGCTGCTTTACAAGTACAGAGCTCAAAAGAGTTGTTATAAGGATATATAATCATGCGTTTTCGTTTTATTTTACCTCTCAGTTCTTTACCAAAAATACTAGCAGAAAGATATGTTCACACTGAACTTCTAATATCGACGGAAGGCTGAAATCTAAATTTGTGTAAAATGTTAACATGGAGGGGGGTCATGCTCGGGCTATGGCGCGTAGTGTACGCAATATGAAAAATACACAAAATTAAACTGATCTGATTCCCTAACCTCCAAGTTTATTCGCGTTTCTCCTGGAACATACACTAATAATCCAGTACATTAGGATCACACCTAACTAATACCATGCAAATTCACCTTTGGCAAGCAAAACCGTTTTAAGGGTCATCTGCTGCGGAGTCCCATATCAGAGTATGATAAACTATGCGCTCAAATACACGTTTATCTTTACCTGCGTTGTATCTAAGTAACCGCCTACTTTCCCTCACCAAGCCTTCGACGTCCCCATTTTGTGAGGCGGGGACGTGCCACGGGTTGGTGTCTGCTAACAGTTTCGCCATTGTTCTTCCACTTTCGATAGACACTAACGACGGGAACTCGCGAACACTCCCTTACAAGCTTTTCAGTATCCGAGATACTTGTTTCGAGTCGACGGGGCATCAGGGTTCTGCTCTTTGCAAAAGTCGCTTAAACCAGCAGCCTTTTCTAATACTTGCACATGTACTTGACAAAATGATTTCCCTGTATCCTCGGTAGCCGCTAACTACCATCCGCACCGGCAGGGGATAGATAACGCGGATGGCCCGTTAGTTAGGCACGTTCTTTCGCAGAGTGAAAGGATGGTCGTAATGTTTAGGGGTTGATTTTTGTATTCCTTACTCCCTTTCACTCCAAGGGCTCTATACTCGTCAAACACAGAGTTGGGGCCGAAGTTCACGGAGCGCTCTGATTAAGACTATCACGGCGATGACTTTGCGCTTTTGTCGCAAGCACAATGTTGGGGCCGAAGTTCACGGAGCGCGCTGACTGGACTATCATGACAAGAACTTCGCGCTTCTGTCGCCAGCATCCAATCGCCGCTCTCCGCGAACGTTTGGCTCCAACTTTGCGTTTGACGAGTTTAGGGCCCCAAGTTCGACCGCAGCCGGCGCTACGATCGATGAAGCCATTCAAACAGCGCGAAGAGTGGATCTTCTTTGCGCTCGCCGTCCTTGTGCGTTTGCTGTCCAGGATAAAACGAACCACACACACCGAATGCCCCATGATTTCAAGCAGTTTTCTGTGCTCGATTCGTTTAGTCGTTGGTAGCAAACAGCACAAAAAGAATGAGCCCCTTGATAATGCACTTTCGGCACGGCTTAATGGTCTCCGTCTGATCGTAGCATCGGCTCAGATCGTAGTCCACTGTCTCTGCTGTTTTCACTTATAGTGCAATCTGTATGGGTTTTCAGTCAATACAACATGTGAATTCAGTACCTCGCGTAAGACCACGAATTAATGAAACTTTGACGAAATAAGCGAAATCCTGGAGACATTATAACTTAACGTTTGCTCCGTTTTTTTTTTGCCGACTTTAGATTGTTTTATTTTCCTTGTGATATCTGTGTGCTGCTCTCACTCTCAAGACTGCCGTTAGAATAACTGCAGTTTTAACGAAAAAATATGCTTAACCCTTTGACGGTCTTCGCAAATGTAGTACGACGGCGATTACACTTTTGAAAGTGCCCATATAAACGCAAGACCGCGCACACCGCGGAAGATGTTGGTATTTGTTTTATATTTGGTGACCTATATATAAACGATTTTTTTTTTTTAGCGCGGTGTTTTGATTTTTTTAGGATATTTATAGTTTTAAAATTAGACTCTGGGCGCAGGTGATACGCGCGAAATGGTCGTTTCGCATGTCCGGTGGTCTGGCGGTACTGACAATTGGAGCGCCGGCTCTTCTGCTTGACTTTTAGCGCTTCTCACAATTGAATTCCCATACGAAGAAAAATCACTGTAAAATCCGGTTCAGAATCTAAAACCGCCGGAAGGTTGCGGAACCGGACTGATCAAAATAAAACAGAGTGGAAGAAAGGGTGGCAATTTTCGCTTTCAATATTTTTGTTCTGTGCTTCTAAACCTGAATACGTTACACGCCCTGTAGCGTGCTCCCGTTAGATAATAAAATAATAAAAAATCAACAACAATAGAACTGTGCGTTGGCGTTTTCTTCATACAATTTGTGTGGAAACAAAACCCGACCACTGGGAAACATCTTTTGAGAGAAAAAATCGAACGCCATATAGTGGATAAAGTAACGTTTAATCGAATGTTTTTTTTTCTATTTTTACGTAAACATATAGATGATGCAATTTTTAATGCTGTGACTTCAGCGCAGCTAACTGCAGTCATGTCACGTTAATACGCACCCGGTTAATATGGATACCCCGCTATATGGAAAGAATTTTCGGGGACAAAACTGGGAAAATACGTGAATTTTTGCCTCCTTACCATGGACAACTCACATTACGGACGATTTTTAAACAGCCTGGTTGGGACACGCTTGTGAAAAAATTAATTTTACGCGAAAACAAATTTTTTAGAGCAATATTGACGGTGCGAGACGCGATTTAGTCGCTAGTCTTCTCCTTTCCACTTGTTTTCTCTCTTGGCATTTCGGGCGCAGGGAGGAGAGGTGGATCGGCTTCGCCTTCACGTTGAGGTCGAAAAAGTAATGACCATTCCGTGACGTCATGGTCTTTGCACTCAGTATTTCACATAAATATCGCGCCGTCAATATTGCTCTAAACATTTTTTTTTCGCGTAACATTTATGTTTTGACACGGTTGTCCCAACCAGACTGCTAAAAAAAAAAAAAACTTTTTTTTTCTTTTGAGGTTTTTTGCTTAAGGTAACTACTGTCGAGGAGATCATACCGTGGCGCCCCAAGCGGCTTACTTTAGGACTACACGGATGGGGACAACAAATAACAATGACTCAGTGCTCGGCTGACTTTACCGAACGCCGCGTCATCGTTCGGCTGGAGTTCGTGTTCTCTGGTGAGGGGGAGGAGGGGCTCTATTGTAACCACTCCGGCCTGCATCAAGAATGCGGTATGAAGGCTACATATGCCCAGCCCAGCTCGCATTTTATAATGATTGCTTTCGTAAAATTTCTGGCAGTATAAAAAAAAAGCGTTACTTCGTTTATATTTAGTATTTTTACGTTACACTGTGCCCCTCTCTCTATTGAAGAAGATGACGTGGACATGCCCACAAGGCCTGTGGGTATGTCTACAGGCCTTGCGTAAACACCGAGGCGTGGAGACAACAAAGGGGTCATAGCGCCCCCTATGGTTCGATCTCCTCGCAAATATTTATGCTTGCCGACCACGGTTGGCATACGACGAGAACATAATATATGCTTACATAGTCAGATATAAACGAAGCACAAAAGCTACAGAAGTTGGGGCGTGTAGCTTCGAAGGAAGCGCGTGGCGGCCGGCGTTTCTGGCGGCGGAGAAAAGCTCACCGGAGAAAAGCTCTCCGGAGAATAGATTTCGGAGAGCTATTCTCCGCAGTAAAGCTCACCGAAATATTTTTTTTCTTAGCTTTCCGAATTGCGCGTGACACTTGGAAGTTTAATGCAATTATAATTCGTCACTTAATTAAAAGTAATTGTCATCTTTGTTTTAATATTTATGAAGTTTATTGAGCATATTTACTCATTTCTCAGAAATTAGTAATCACACATTCTGTCTATTAATCATGCCTCAAATATAAAATTAGGACGTGGGACATCCATAAAGGATAGCACAATTTGTTCAGAGCTTGGCAGTGCGCCATCGTTAGCTCTGTCAGATAAAGAGGTTTGTTTTTTGCGAGCTAATATGAATAGCTGTGTGTGAACTGTCTCAGCTCCGAAGATTGTGAGGTTCCCGATAGATTAGGTGTTTGTTAGTGTCATCAGTGTCGACTACGCTGTTTTCTTCTTTTTTTTTTTTTCACTAATGAAACTTTAGTTGCGAGAATAGCTTCTTGCTGTCGTGTTTGTTGTCTTCGTCGTTGGAGCTCTTTCTATCATGTATAACGTTTACCAACTTGCCCAATTCGCATCCTTACAGAATACTAGTTCTTATATAGGTCACGATTAACAACGGTGACAGTGTGGAGCCCCGAAGGTCATGGGTGGTTCGCCGTAGAAGGGCACTATCACACAAAGGCAACATGTGGGAAAACCAGCACGAAGGGCTAGAAAACGTTCATGTCCTTGCAAGCACGAAATCTCAATAGCCTACTGACCGTTTTATCCTGTTTTCAAAGTCTAACAGGGGGATCGGTGGCCGAGTGGTCTAGCGCACACCAGCTCGGAGCACGTGGAGCGAAAGCTCGCGCTGCAGAACCCAAGGATCCTGGGTTCGAGCCCCACCCCTGCCCGTTTCGATCTGGATGAGCATCGTACCGGCGTGCGGTCGTGTATCACTACTGCGTGGTGCACGTTAAAGACCCCAGGCTAGCGGCTGTACCGCACTGGCTAAATTTCTCATCCACAGCTGGGAGACTCGTCGCCCCTGTGAGGCAGACCAAGTTCTAGGCTGTATAAACACACACACAACCCAATTAAATTAAAGTCTAACAAAACCTTCAACAAGAATTTCAGGCACCGCGTTGCTGCGCATGCACTTTCGTATTTTCGGCATTTACAGTGTTGCCTTTTAGGTTTTAGGCAGACATTATTAGGTTTTCAAATTTTTCCCTATTTTTCAAATTTATAAAGTTTTCAGTTAGGCTTTTGTTGCCTAGAGAGTAACCCACAGAAAACACTCGCCCGCAATTACCCATATTGGAGCAATATACCCAATAAGCTTCACAGATATTACAAAAAAAGCCTCTTTTAGAAACTAAAGAATTTTAATGATAATAAATTTACGTGTGTTACCATGATCCAACAGCCTCTTTATGAAAAGAAGAAAAGAATCCGTGAGCTTTTCTCCGCATCGGCTAAAGAGCCGGTGAGCTGTTCTCAGCATCCGCTGTCTTTGCGGTGAGCTTTTCTTCGGTGAGCTTTTCGCCGGTGAGCTTTTCTCCGGGATTCAAAGTTCCGACGTAAGCGAGGTGTCGCGGATCCTGAGATTTTTTTCTGTAAGTTTCTTTTTGAGTTTCAGTTCGCAAGAAAACTGAGCATTTTTCTCCATGTTATTTTTCAGAAAATACCGCACTGAATACTTAAGCATACTGTAATCTTTGTTTTAAACTCTTATTTTATGTCAACACCAAGTTTTGAGATACGAAATTGCTTACGTGACATATACCTCCCTCCTCCAGCTTAGAACAAACAGTGTAATTGGGCAGGCTGCGATTACTTATCTTCCTGCATTCCTCGAGTGAAATATATTTCACTTGCGCTTGCATTAGGTTCTCCGACAGGGTCTGGACAAACTGCCAAGTCTTATTTGCGGAGACCTCCGTATAGTCGTTCTCACTTTCCCCGTCTTGGTACGAGCTTGAATAATCATCGTAAGACTCCAGCTCCATTTTTTCAATGGCTGAAAAAAAAGACCCTTCAGTTTTGGCTAGAGCGCTTTGAATGTAGACGAACATTTAGTCAAAAGTCCAAATATTTAACCAGAATAAAAATAAGTTTTAATTGACATGTGTCGGGTACTTGGGGGGAAATATTAGATTTATTTATACGCAAAACTAGAAAGCTAAAGTGCATGTTCTTTCATCGAAGCAAAGTAAAACAAACACTCATGTTAAGAGTACTACCTTTTTTAGAAAAGAAGATATATATATATATATATATATATATATATATATATATATATATATATATATATATATATATATCAATTTATCGCGTCAACTGTCAATATGTTCGTTTTAGTGACGAAGTACACGCACGGTACTTCGTGCGTGTACTTCGTGCGTGTGGGCACGGTACGCTTTGCGGCAGCATGTCTAACCCGCTCGTCTTCGCCTGTTTACAGGTCCTGCTTTTTGGCGCGGGGAAAAGCCACGAGCCTTCGGTGATTCCTTCGCCGATCATTTTTTCCGAGTCCGACACGGGCATAGTGTCTTTTGCCCCGTCATCGTCATGCTACATCCGCCACGGCGAGAGATCGATCGCCGATGACACGTCTTTCGACCACGTTACAAGGCTGCACCAATCATCTTCAAGAACTGCCACGCCCCTGGGTGTCTTAAAAGACTGGAACGGACTTCACTGTGCTAGTGGTGGGCACGGTACGCTTTGCGGCAGCATGTCTAACCCGCTCGTCTTCGCGTGTTTACAGGTCCTGCTTTTTGGCGCGGGGAAAAGCCACGAGCCTTCGGTGATTCCTTCGCCGATCATTTTTTCCGAGTCCGACACGGGCATAGTGTCTTTCGCCCCGTCATCGTCATGCTACATCCGCCACGGCGAGACATCGATCGCCGATGACACGTCTTTCGACCACGTTACAAGGCTGCACCAATCATCTTCAAGAACTGCCACGCCCCTGGGTGTCTTAAAAGACTGGAACGGACTTCACTGTGCTAGTGGTGGGCACGGTACGCTTTGCGGCAGCATGTCTAACCCGCTCGTCTTCGCCTGTTTACAGGTAAGCAATAGGACCAGTAGCATGCGGAGCAACTGCTTGTGCCTAGTTGTCGTGCCGTGCCCCCACAAAGTGCTTTCTGTGGTAGCAGAGTGTCTAGACGTGATAAGGCAACTTCTTCTACTATGCGGTGATGTTGAGCTCAATCCTGGGCCAACCTACACGCTGGAGGAAAAGGTGTCGATGATACTTGATGGCCAAAAGGATCAGACGAGAACGTTAAACGATATAAAACGAGATCAGCGATCTCTACAGAAATCAGTGAATGAAAATACCGAAAATTTTAAAAGCCTAGATGTTAGAATGATAAGGTTGGAATCGGCAATTCACAAGGCAACTCAACTGTAAGCAGTGGTCCGAGACCTGACATAAACTGTCCACCTACTAGTGCGTAAGGTAGATGACCTCGAAAACCGCTCCAGACGCAACAACCTCATCATATTTGGATTAAACGAAGCAGAAAACGAAACGGCTTTGGAACTAACGCAGACCGTCCAGGCTAATGTTTTTCAAAGAGTTAACGTAAATCCCGAAAGTATCGAACGCATCCACCGTCTTGGTAAAAAGCGGCGAAGCCCACGGCCTACAACAGTACGTTTTTACAACTACCGAGAAAAAATGGAAATTTTGCGCAACTGTAATAGGCTTAAGGGCACAAATATTTCTGTAAGTGAGGATTTTTCTAGGCAAGTTCAAAGTTTAAGAAAATGCCTTTGGGACTCCGCAAGAGATGAAAGAAACCGAGGCGCTAAAGTGCGCTAAGTTTATGACAAGATAGCCGTAGACGGTAGCTTGTTTTACTGGGATTTGGCATCCGGTTCTCGCCGTCCATATGGGAGCGGCGATATTCTTGAAGGGGAACTGAGTCGCAGAGAGGGCCCTGAAAATCAGTCGTGTTCCTGATTTACTCACCGTAATCAATCTAAACGCGCGAAGCGTATTAAACAAGAGAGCCGAGTTGGAAGCCATACTTTTGGAACATGGACCTGACGCGGTTATAATAACAGAAACGTGGTTGAGCACTCAAGTTGAAGATACGGATTTTGTACCACCGAATTATGTTTGCTTTCGTAAAGATCGGGAGTCTCGTGGAGGTGGTGTCGCAGTTGTTATCAAGGAGGAGCTAGAGAGTGAGGTGATGCCTAATTTAGATGGTATTGAATCATTGTTTTGCAAGATCGTAATAAATAAGTGTCCAATCATGATCGGAGCTGTTTACCGTCCTCCTCTGACGAACGAAACCTATTTTACGAGTGTAAATGACTATCTATGTGAACATGTCCGAAGTAAAAATAGCAGAATTGTTCTGGCAGGGGATTTTAATCTGCCCAACATTGATTGGTTGAACATGTGTGCAACACATGGGGAAGTTTCCACGTCGCAAGCTTTGATCAATTTAGTATTTTCTCATGATTTGACACAAATTGTTCAACAAAGTACTAGAACGCAAGGTTCTGTTAGTTCTTTGCTTGACTTGGTCTTTTTGAGTAAACGATTGTCGCAGTCGCGATACTCGTGCGAAGTTTTGGACGGTATCTCCGACCACGACATGGTCCTCGTGACGTGTCCCTTAGGAAAGCGTGAAAAAGTACCGCCTGAAACTGTTTCCTTTCCGGATTTCTCTAAGGCAGATGATGAAAGTATATGTGACTTTTTTTAATCTACATTATGATAACTTTAGGCAATTCTCCGCATTAAACGCGACATCTGTAGACGAGATCTGGGAAAAATTTAAAACTATGGTTCACACTGCCATCAACAATTTTATTCCCCTCCGAGTCAAAAAAATCTCCAAGCAAAACCCGTGGATAACAAAAAATATTATTCGCATGAAGCGTAGGCTAAAAAGAAAAAGGCAGAATCTAAAAAAATGCGAGACACCTCAAAAGCGAGAGGAAGTACAGGGCCTTTCGGATACTTTTAAATCGGAGGTTCGCAATGCTAAATGTTTTTATATGGAAAATTCACTCACAAACTTTCTAAAAAATTCCCCAGAAAAGTTTTGGCGACATTTATCTGCGGTTAAGGAAACTGTTCCAGGTATTGTCAAGAACGGTTCTATTATAACAGACAAGTGGCAAGTTGCTTCATCATTCAACCATTACTTTCAGTCAGTTTTCACAAGAGACGATGGCATCCTTCCCAATTTCTACGTGCCTTGTGGCATTCCTGCTATAAATGACGTGACAGTGAACCAGCAAGGTCTGTTCAATTTGTTATTAAACCTTGATGCTAAAAAATCATCCGGGCCTGACGAAATACCTAATATATTTCTAAAAAGATATGCAGAATGGTGCTCCCATTACCTGGTAATAATTTTTAACCTAACACTTGACAAAGGAACAATTCCCCGAGATTGGAAATGTGGCAAGATAATTCCGGTCCATAAGAAGGGTGATAAAACTATCTCGAGTAATTATCGACCGATTTCCCTAACGAGCACGTGCTGTAAAACTTTAGAACATATCTTATCGAAACATTTGATCACTTTTATTGAGAGTAACAAACTTCTGGGCTCTAATCAGTATGGATTCAGACGGGGGTGTTCTACAACTACGCAGCTAATCGAAATTTTTCAGGATTTGAGCATAACCGCAGATAAAGGGGGGCAGACAGATATTATATTTTTAGATTTCGCTAAAGCTTTTAACCGCGTATCGCACCCGAAATTGTTGTACAAGCTTAGTCACGTTCTTAAGAATGATCAGATAGTCGATTGGTTGAACTCATATTTATCAGGACGGGAACAGTATGTGTATTTTAAAAAGGAGAGAACAGAATCATTACAAGTAATATCCGCCGTCCCGCAGGGATCGGTACTTGGACCGCTTCTTTTTATACTATTTATCAGCGACATGGGAAAGGACTTTGACTCCGCGGTAACTTTAAAGCACTTTGCGGATGACACTGTGATTTACTCCAATATCAGTTCCAATGAAGACCAACTAAATTTGGACAAGCACTTGCGTAAGATAATGAAATGGTGTGCTGACTGGCAGATGGAACTGAATATAAGTAAGACGGTCTACATGAATGTAACGCGCAAAAAACAACACTTACAATTTAACTACAGTATTAATGGTCTTCCTCTTGTTAAAGTTAACGAATATAAATACCTTGGAGTGCACTTAAGAAGTGACTTAAGCTGGAACTCCCATATTGACTATGTATGTAAGAAAGCCTTTCAAAAACTATGGATGCTTAAAACAAAGTTGGAGTTCGCTAGTTCCGATGTCAAATTAATCGCCTTTAAGTGTCTAATTTTGCCAACTCTGGAATACGCTAGTCCGGTTTGGGAGCCATTCACAAATCAAAATATTTATAAATTGGAAAGAATTCAAAATAAGGCTGCTAGATTTATCTTTAATTGCTACCGGTCGACTGAGTCGGTCACAAAACTCAAGGAGCAAGCAGGCCTGCCTAGCATAAAGACCAGATTAGAAACGAATAGAATGAAACTTTTTTTTCAGATATTTCATGGTCATTCGATGTTGGATACCCGAAAATACGTCGTGATGTCTCCTCCGGTGTACCACAGAATAAAACATAGCTTAAATATCCAATCCTATCAATACTCTACGGATCATTTTAAGCACTCCTTTTTTGTTCGATGTATTGATTTCTGGAATAAGCTGCCTGAATGTATAGTCAACTCTCAAAGTGCGTCAACTTTTGTGAAGGAAATTGAAATGTTTCTTTCTTCCCATGTCACCAAGGGATGTGACTGAATTATTGAATTCTTTGTGTGTCCTTGGTATGTTTTTGAAAATATGTACCACTCCTGCCTTGGCCTCACGGCTGGCAGAATGAATAAATAAATAAATAAATAAATAAATAAACTAAGGAGCACTTTTCTGGTGGTAAAGGAACATTGAGAAAACGATTAATTCAAGGAAGTGCTCTTTCGTATTTTGTTCTGCGCTCCTTAAAAAAGGAACACTGACTCTGTCAGCAACCGTCACGGAAAGCACAACTTTCGCTGATGACGTTGCAGCCGTTGGCGTCTGGGAGCTAAGATTGCATTGGAAAGTAAGATGGCAAAAAGTGTTGTTTTTGCCGGGATCGTTCATAGAGCAGGGTATATGATATAAAGACTCCCAGTAAGGTCACTGTATGAACTATCTGAAAATGTGCGGAATATTAAAATTATTATTTCGGAAAAATTCATATTCCTACAGTCTAGCCTCAAAGCAAAATACTCCACCATGTCTTTTCTTGCTGCAATGAGCTGAACAGTACCGTCTGGTTTAAATTGTCTAGTTCTTCTGTCAAGTCTAACATGACTAATTCACCATGTAGTAAGGAAACGGTTTAATTTCAGAAAGTAGTCTTCTAAGTCAGTTTTAGTTAGTGTTCAAATCATGTTGACTGGTCGGTTCGAAAACGAATCTCCACATTAAGCTTTTTCTACTAAATTCCTTGATGGTATTAATTCAGCAGCATTCCCAATTACAGCGTTAGAATACACGACACGACGTTGTATATAACGGCTGTCAGCTTGCACTTTTGAATGTAAAGACAGGCTATGCATCTTGGGGTTGGAGAACGCAAACCAAACCTGTCCAGTCGAAAGTATCTTGATTCCCTTCGCATGACTTCAGGCTTGGGAATGGCAAAGTTTGTGAATGTAACCGAAGGCAGATATTTGATTTAACTCTAATGTAGCCTAAATCAAAGGTTGGATGGCCTTCAAAAACAATGTTCAAAATAAAAATAACATCCAGGTAAACCCGGAAACATATACGAATACTATTTCTTTACTTAACAGTCGGCATCATGCGACTAAAATGTCTGAAAAATCAATTGGATATTTTTGAACAAGCGTAACATCGCATAGTGGCAGCCTCGCAAGGGACATTAGCTATCTTATTTTAACTCTTTATTTATGTTTTACAAACCTAGCAGACACTGAGTGTACCTAAAGATTTCTAACGTTCCTAAATATTGCCGCGCGCGCAGCTGGCCAAGCAGGCAGCGCGCGCGTGGCCTAACGGTTATCGCGCTTGCTTCCCACGCTGAAAGCCAGGGTTCGATTCCTGGCCGCGGAGGCGCATTTTTGTTGACACTGTAATGTAAGGTTCTGGTGAATTCGAGAACCGTCTTGCTGATTCGAGGTTAGAATGTTCAACGCGCCGAACCTTCTACGCCGAACGATCCAGAAACTCACGAGGGTACATAAGGGATTCCGCAAGGCGAGCGGGGTCAGTTTCGCCCCAGCGTTCGACTCTGCTGCTACGCCGACTTCGACGCCCGCGACGCTCTGTTATTATCGTTGTACCCCTTTTATTTTTTTGGCACAAGTTCGCCACATTAAACGTTTATTTCTTCCTGTTTATTTCCTATTTTTTTGGTCACCACCCGTGACAATATTGGTACAATCGAATGTAAACAAAAGAAATGATTCGAACTCTAGGCATCGACGGAAAGGGGAGAACGAATCCAACTAAAACTGACCAACCGGGGTGCTTGACAAGCGGCCATAAAAACTATGTGTTGTTAGTCCTCTTTCCTCTTCAGTTCCACCCTACAACAATGGTTGTCCGATCCTGAAATGCTAAATATTTTAATGGTTTTCTTTTTGAGTGTCAACACTGAGTATACATTCGTTTTTAATACATTTGGCTGCACGAGCGAAGAGACAAACGACTTACCTCTTCCCCAGCCTGCTACGTAAATTGTAGCGTCATAAGGAGGTTCTTCGCACTCCTCAGGAAGACATATCGGTTGTATGTAGTCGGTGAATGTTACACTCTCCTTCAACTTTAATATAGCGATGTTCCTCTGTGAAAGCATAATTCAGTTGTGCATTTGCTATAAACGTTGTAACGGAAAAATAGGATTCACTTATTTTTTTTTTTGACCATATACTTACGGGCATCGCTGTACAATCGCTGTCTTGAAGTGCCACGCATATGTCTTCCACTTCCATATGTACGCCTTTGGGATCTTGCAGATCAACATGTTGCTTATCTTGAGAAGTCTTAGCATCGTCAACATAAGCATATGTGTTGTTCCCGAATTCGTAGTCATAATAAGATTCATTACTCCACGATATCGCAAGGGACTGGGGAAAGTCACTCTTGGGTTTTTTTGAAGTGCCGAGGAAGACCATAATAGTATCGGCTTGGAGATCCCTGATAGAGCAGAAAGAAGAAATGAAAAGAGTACAGCAAACAAATGCTAAGCATGACAAAACCCCCGAGACTACGGATCAAAACGACACATGCACTAAAACCGTTTGTGTCGATTTCACCTGAAGTCTCGGGGTTTTTGTCGTCCTTAATATTCACCAGTTTAATAAATGCTGTTGTTCTTATAGAACAGACAATATAATTTGTGTGTGACGTGGGCAGTGTACGGCACTAGTGCGCGCCTTTTATCGTTGTGCAATTTCCGAGAAAGGACCGCCACTGTACCGCAGAATGAGGAGCACAAGCATTTCTCTTATGGAGAGAACCGTTATTGGCGAGGTTTCGTTTAGGGACATTAATTTGAGCTTATTTTGTGTAGGATGGCGGTGAGATATTGCGTAAATAAGCTTCCCGCTAAATTAAGTTTGCTAAGTTTAGTGGAGACATTGTAACAAAAAGAGTAACATGACACTCTGGCGTCACGTGAAAGTGTGATTCTACCATAACCATGACGTCATCGCAACCATGACGTCGCGTGATACTGTGACGTCACTATAACTATGATATCGACACCGTGACGTCACTGCAACCATGGCATCACGTGATACTGTAATGTCACCATAACCCTGACATGAAGTGACACCGGGACGTCCAGCACGTCACGTGACATCAGTGACACCATGATTTGATGTCATAATGTCATGGCAGGTGATGACGTAACGTCACGTGAGACATGGACGTCATGTTACGTGACACTGTGTACATTTTGATTGTGCGTAGTCTGTGCGCAGCAGAGGGCACTGCATTTCGGCTGTCGCGCTCTTAGTTTGAAGCAGACAGCGAGGAGCAGGGAAATTTTTGTTTCCTCCAGTCGACATTGTAAATGAGGTGAGAGGCTCCTAGGAAAGAATTTCTCAGTTGTATACTTAAGTAAAAATGTAACCTGGGTTGTTGTGAATAAAAAACAAAAAAGAACATCGTGCAGTATGCATTAGCAATAATAATAAAATCTGTTTCTAGAGAAGAAAAAAACAATTTTCGTTTTTACAAAATTTTGCCGTGTTAGGGTAAACATTTGACGTTGCTTTGCAGTGCGAAATAATCAAAATAGCCTCTTTCTGATCAATATCGATGATTCCTTATAGGTTATAAATCGTGAATTAAAATTTTCATTGCGCACAAAATTTTTTCGACACGTGAGGTGTGTCTGCATCTCTCAGTTTGAGTTCATTGAGAAAATCATTTTATAAAATGTTAAGGAGAGCTTTAGTTCACAAAATATTTCACTTGAAATTACAACCCTCAAGAAAATCGTGTTTGCGACCTCTAACTTTTCAGGCACAGAAACTTTGTCTGTTTAGTAATCTATTTATATATGCCGCCTTTCAGCATATTGTTAACCATGCTGAATAAACCTGAGACTGGGGCAGAAATTAACAAATAAGTCGAAGGAACAGAAAAAGACAGGACGACATCTCAAACTCAGTTTGAGACGTCGTCCTGTCCTTTTTTGTTCCTTCGACTTATATGTTCATTTCTGCCCAAGTCTCAGGTTTATTCAACATGGTGAACATTCACCAGCTCGCCTGCACCCCTTACTATATTATCTCTTAACATATTTTTCATAAATATTATTTTTCTTTGTATGCTTAAAAATGCGTGACTTAGCATAAAGCACATTTGAAACGCAAAAGGGTCAATCTGAAATTTCCCGAAGTTAAGTTTCACGTAAATGGTTTTCTTTCTTTATTTAAAAAAAAAAAATGAAATTTGACTTGTTTAAAATTTTCACTGCTTCTTTGTCATTTGACAAAGTCGTTCGACCCGAAACCAGCCTGAAATCAGTCAATCGTATAAATTGCACAATGTACTGAACGGATTGTCAGTGAACCGACTTATGAAATGCCGGAAGGCCACTGTACAATGACATCTAGTTTCCTGTTCCGCCCAGCCGGACCAGACTGTTGTTGCTCCTGCCGTTGTAGAGAGCAACAAAGCCAGACACAAACCCTGCAAAAGATCTTGATAATACGTGTAGTCTTTCTCACTACCGCCAAGCGCACAACAAGCAGTCGCCGATTGCACGAGGATGTGCTATCGGTGACTGCACCTTCTATTGGCGAAGTGAGCGATCAAAAGCGTCGCTGTGGTCGGCGCACCACAATTGGCTAAATGCTGACTATGACGTCAGCAAAGGATGTCTCATCAACGGAAATAAGAGGAATGTAAGAACTTCAATTTTGGCGGTGTTGGCAGTGTTGCTTTGAGAGCGCTATGATTTCAGGCTTCCCCCTGCTCATTACAAACACCATTGAACTTGTTGTTCACAAGGTAATGACGTCACGAAAGATAACCAAACGAGGGCGCAACCGAAACATCTCACCGCTAATAGAGGTGAATAGAGGTGAGGTCAGACAAGAAAACTTTAAAATTGAGAAACACAAACCCTATAAACGTCATTCATTAAAAATTATAAAAAAAACTTAATTTGTATTGTAGCCAGATTCTAAAATAAGCAGCGGCATCACTCGTACATAACGCAATGGGCTGCAGTCAAGACTACCCGTTCACTGATGAGCACCCCTCCGCAGAAGTGTGTGCATGAGCTCTTGTTGTAGAGCCCAACAACCCATGGCCAATCACCATGCTTGGCTTCAGTGCCGTTGACGATTCTTTCCGAAACGTGGACAGTCTTTTGACGCCGACCGCAAGACCAGTTGTGGCGTGCAAGACCTTCTTCGCTTCTTGAACTCGTGTCCACTGAGAACCCTGTAAAATATAGCGCTAGATGTCAAGTTAGTTCAATAGAGCTTTAGACGCCTGCGTAATGTAAGCTTCCCGCAAAATAGTGCCCAGTTTCTCCGCTTCGGACGCGCAGTTTGCAGTGTGACTGCTAACGCAGGATCTTCAGCATGCATCACCCGCAAGTGATTCACTCGAACGCACACCAAAAGGAACCTCACCCAAGTAGAAACGGGAAGGCGGGTATCGAACCCAGAACTGATTAACTGTAATTAGCCTAATTCCTAAGGCGGGCCAGCGGGAATCGAAGCCCGGAACAGTGCGACCCGCAGCCGGGCACCCGTGCCCGGCTTGACGAGGAGGCTAAAGGGTGGGAGAGCAGAAGACCTAAGTAGGACTCACGGAGCATGCGGTAGCAGGCGGTGCAAACGAGGCATATATGGAGCCATGATTGAGTCAGTCCAGCATCCATATATGCTACCAGGTTAGCCTCCTCGGACACTGATGAGGGAGCGTAAAGATAATAAACCCGTAAAAATAAAAGTTCGATGAGCCTGCCTGAGGCCACCACTAGGTTTGGTGTCGGTGTTTTGACACCGACACCAAACCTGGATACACCGCTACCCTTTTTGCGCCCCGCCAAGGGTATGCCGGTGTATCGGGGAAGTTTACTAATGGCACAGACAGATTCATAAAATGTGCCAAGGCAGCCGCCGCTGGAACTACGCCAAGATTCAAGGCCCAGGCGTGACGTCATTGATGAATTAATTAGCGTAATCTGTTCAACTGCGCCCCCGCCCGAAGTGTAGTGATCAGTGTTAGCCGGGAGAGGCCTGTAATGACCCGGATGGCTTCCCGATTAAGAGTCTCCAACCGGGGCCATTCAGCCTAGGTGAGGTGCTGAAACTGCACCCTGGTAAACGAGGCTATGCTGGAATATTGAGCGAACCAACATCCGAGCAATGCAGCTGATGTGAACTGATTCTGAGAGATTTAGAAACATGCTTCATTGAAAACACCAAGCCTCAACCCTATCTAAATCGCTTTGGAGAACAAATACATCGGCATTACAAGAGACGTCTTTATACAAAACACAATCATCGGCACATATTCTTAAGCTAGAAAGAACATTTCCAAGTATATCATTAACGTAAATTTAAAAAAAAAAAAAAAAAAAAAAAATTAGTGGTCCGGGCACCGATCCCTGACAGAAGTTTATCTAGGCATGAGGTATCACAAAAGTACGTACACTCACCGAAATTGACGACGGGAAAAAATATGGCTACGAGTGCTAGAGATCGTAAAAATGAACAGTCGTAGCAACTGACAATACGCTGCTGCCTTGCAGATATTTTCTGCATCTTAAGACCTTAGAAAGCAGTCAGCAGCTAGATTCTCGAATGCTTTAAAACGAAATATCAGTGAAAGAAAGAAAAAAAAATAATGCAGACATGTGGTAAAGTGAAATAAAACAAGCCAGAACAACCATTCCAAGCGAGGCGAAACGATATCCGCATTCCCCGCTTGCTTACATAAAGACGCACGGTGCCTCGGTTTACTGTCAAGCGAAAAATTTATTTCCAACTGTATGATATTTTATATCCAGCAAAACATTCTATTGTTCACGAACATCACGCCTCCCATAATACTTCGAAGTATAGCTGAACACCAGACATGTACACGCTGCTCAAATCAAGCTACTAAATACCGTTCCTCGTTACGTACTCAAAAAGTAACTATGGTACGTTATTCGCTACTGCGATTCAAAAGGAACGCGTTGCTTCGTCATAAAAGTGGCGCTATCATCGTCACTCTAAATATGTGGTTTTCATGAGGCAGTAGCCGCTTCCGAAATATGTTAATAGTTTCTGGCTTTTTAACCTGTTTATTCGGGGATAACCAGCTTTTTTCGTCGCGCGAATTAAATGCGTAAGCTTTCGTGAGAGCTAGGTTGCATACTTAACACGTTCCCCTTCTAAAGTAACTAATACCGCTACTCGTTCTTTTGTCAAAAAGTAACAACAATACGTTAGTTGTTCCTTCTTTTAAAAACTACCCAGTTCGTTACTTCCCTACCGAAAAGAGTAACTAGGTACAGGTAACCCGATACTGATAACGCGATACTTACAGTGTGCAGCCGCAAGGACCAAAACATATGGCACGCCTTGAAAAATTCGAATTCCAACCTTGAAATCTAGCACGCGAACGTCGTTTCAAAAGTTTTATGTCTGTTTTTTTTTTTTTTTTAAAGCTCAAGTTGGAGGTGGCAAAATACTAGTAACAGAACAGAAAACGGCGGCCGCGTGTTTCCTGTGCCATCTACCGGATGTTCCACGAAGAGGGTCGCGTCTGCCGGCTTTCGCCAAGCTTCGGGCAGTTTGCCGCTTAGGGCGAGTTGAGGATCCATTAAAGATGATGTCATGCGCAGGTCTTGTCTTCCAGGTCCCAACGCGGCGTCTCGACGATTCCTTGGCGTCAGCATTTTCAAAGAGGTTTCGGATGTCGGCAGCTGGCGCCTCGAGGCCTTTCCGTGTAAATCGGATGCAGCGAGCAGTCATTGGCACCTCCCAAGCAGCACAGATTTGGCTAATCATTGGCCAATGCCTCCCAATGGTCATTTGGCCAGTGGCCAGACAATGGCCAGCCATTGGCCGATGAATGTCCTTTATCTGGCCATTGGTCAGGGGCCATCAGCCACTGGCCTAGCATTGGCCGATGAATTGCCACCCTTTGTCCATATGCCAAAAGACCATGGCCAGGCAATGGCCAATGCTTCATTTCATTTCAAATAAAATGATATGAAAATCCGCGCCAACAATTACTACTAAAAATAAACGGCGTTACAATTGCAGTTATTTGGGGGGGAAACGAACCCTGCTACAGTTACAGATGCAAAATCGAAAGGATAACTTGTTAATGTTGCTGCAAAAATGTGCCGCCATTGCTTTTTTGTACTTTAGAAAAAAATATTTAGAACATTCAAAATGCACTTCTGTTATATCCCTTTAAAGGGACACAGAAAGGGCATTTATGCTCGCCGAGGTTTTTAGTTGTACGTGACATATGAGAGCCCAACTACCCAGAACAGAATTTGCGGCTCGAAATTCAATTTCTTTCAGCCCGAACACCGCCGATCGAGAACTGACTGGTTTGAGTTAGCGCTCACTCTCTTCTCCGTGGTCATGGGCCGTTTTAGAAGGATTAGACACAACCACCAAATATATTCAAAGTCGTGGGTCATCGAAGTCACACACAGAATATTTAAAATAGAAAAGAAATATGATACCTATTTTTTGGGGCTTCAAAAAAGCTGCAAATTCGTTGTTTGGGGGAAAAAGTATTACAGCCACGTGACTTTCGCCACCTCTCTCCTCCTCTATATTTCTTCTTCCTCCCCAGTCAAGTTTCAGCTTCTGTTTCGAGCAGTTGCGTTTTTTGACTTCATTAAAATATACGTGACGCTGCAGCAAAATGTTGGTTGGGTAATCTTCTGACACCATAATAAATTGCCTGGCAAAAAATAAAAAAAATAAATGATTTTTTTTTTTTTTGGGGGGGGGGGGGGGGTCAGTGTCCTTTTAAACGAGTGAATATTTTTGATAAAACGATATGTTATTCCAAGGGAACGATTGTTTTCTTTTTAACGGATGTTTTGATAATAGTTAATATTCACATGTTTGGGCCTTCATATTAGAATTCTTACTGAATATATAACTTTAAATTAGATCCTAACTTGGAGCAGTGTTTGAATATATTCACTGCGTGTAGATTTCACGGCCTTTTTTAAAAACAGCATGTGAAGCCTAAAAAACACCGAGTTTTTCTTAGTTTGCATAAACACCGGCTGTTCTGATTTTTTAACTAAATGAGAGGTTTAGCTTTGAGGTTAGCTGAAAACAAATTCATTGCCAATACTAAAAAGCAAATAATCAAATTCTAAACCGGCCTGTGCAAGAACAGGTGACCGGAGAGCTTCCGCGACCTTGTGATCGCAATTGTTCTCAAAACCGAGCGTGTGGCATCGTACCAGCGCTTACTATACCGATAATCATAAGAAGCCTGCAAAACGATTTTTTTTTATTACAGAGAATATGTTTTATGGGCTTTATTTTATGAAAAAGCATAACGCTAGAGTGTGAGGAAAACGTGCTACACGCAGACCAAAACAATAGACACTTTTAGTATAGCGTTGCTGTCTCTTACGTACCCACTATGCAACAGTATATCATACGCTAAAAACGACCTGCTCGGATCGATTTTTGTTGTGCATTACGTTGCCGAGTGAACAGCCCGCATGGTCGCTGATAAAATGCAAGAGGCATAGACTTCTTCGTGCTTACAGCCACCACGATGCTGCTCAAAAGAAATATTAAAAATGAAAACGTTTTCAATCATTTTATTGCAAATTAAATTAAGCTGCAGCTCCCTGATCAAACGCGCTTTTCTGCGGGGGGCGGAGGCTAGAAGTAAGAGCGCGTAGCCAAATTCGATCGCGGAGCTCTACGTCAGTCGTCCCGTAGTAACCGCACCTTTTATCAATACTATCACGAAAAGAAATCTATGACCTACTCATGCCCAGTGCGCCGTCAACTTCGGCGATTTTTTCGTCTGTCGGCGATGAACTGCGCGAAGAGCCTTCCCGTTGAGCAGATCGCGGCGTTCACGCAAATTACGATTGGTGAACATTTTCACTATGCACTTCTTCAGCTGCACGGATATCTCACTGAAACGCGGTAAATCCCGGAAAGAAATGCAGAGCAGAACACCACGCAATTCCACGTAACATTAAACTTCGCGAACACCACGTCGCCCATGCTGGGTTAGCCGAGGTAACCGCAATTTTGAAACCGGTGCTCTTGCGGGACCCGAGATCTCTCGAGAGCTTAATTCCCGCAAAACCCCCTAGCCCGCTGCACAAAATTCGCAGCGTTGCGAGCGTATATGGAATACGCTACCCTTCTATTGCGTACGCAAATTTTTACCGTACGGTCTACCAAGACTGTCTAATATAAATAATGCATGATTAATAGCAGGCAATGCATAATCATTCAAAGAATATAGAAAGCGTCATTAGTCATAATAATTAATACATAATAAGGAGTTTTCGTGAATCGTTTCCGCCATCCCGCAACGCTCTCCGCAACCCGCTACGATAGCCGGAACTGTATTGTCAAGGCCATCCACACGCAGGCGCAGTAGCGGCTTCTTCGTTGCGGAGGGCTTAGCGGTGGAAGAAACTCGGTCTACGAAAACTCCCCACTCATAACTATATGAAGAAACTATCGAAGCTCAGCTAGAATTCGAACCCCTGATAATGAGATTCGCAGTATGGCATCTTTGCTCGGCGCCATAAGTAGGAGATGAACGAGAGCTCAAGGAACTGCACTAAAGCGTGTACATTCGCGTTTGAACGTGTTTGAGTCGGAATGGCGTCCTTACAAGCGTCTATATATAGGCGTTTGTAAGTACCACCTTTTGGCACCGCTATCTTGCTGCTGGCGTGGGTGGATCGTCTGATAGTCAAGCATTGCTGAGGCTGTGGGTACGCTTCAGCAATGTTTGACTATCAGGCGATCTACCCACTCCAACAGCAAGATGGAGGCGCCCAGAGGTGGTGCTTGCAAACCTCTGTACTCCCTTTCATGATAACTTGGCGAACTGTGGAGGCTGCGGCCCCCGCGACTCAATAAGGGCGCCGGAGCAAGGCACGTGCTAACACTCCAGGGTCGAGGCCACCGGGGCCTCGTTACCGCCACAGCAACAGAGACTTCCGCGACAAAATGTAGTTCTAGGCTTTTTTAAAATTTTAACTGCAATTGAACTCGCGCGATTCCATCGATTACGAGAAGATATAAAGAGCAAAGAATAAGTAATCGCAGATTTATGAATATTAATTATATTGAAACCAAAAAAAGGGAAGCCACATCCGTATACGCTAAATTTTTTCCCCCTTCTACCGTAGCGTCGTGGCCGTTGGCGATCGGCAGTTTCCGCTCAAAACATCGCATAGTGCTCTGGCATTATAGCACCCGTCTAAGATTCGCGACTAAATTGAGCGTATGGTTGTCTCATGAACTGTTCCCGAAGTGCTCGCTATTCTAGCGTACGAATATGTTACTGCGGTGGACGTTCATCCAAAGTTGGTTGGTTTCGGAGAAGACGACTCTTGGCTAGGAGACTATAGCGGGTTCTTCCGGGCACTGCTCCGGGCCTCGCGCGGCTCGCGCCTCGCATTTAGCGTTTTGGGGTATTAGCGCACAAAGTTCAGAGAGAAGAAGAACAGGATAGAAAAGAGGAGACGACGCTCTTTTCTGTCCCCTTCTTCTCTCTACTTCGTGCGCTAGTACCTCAATATGTTAGACTACCAACTCGCCCAAATGTCAACTTTACTATGCATTTGGCGGGGTGACACAAATGCTCCCGTGACGTCAGGCCACGTGCCTAGGTCCGACGCTCTTATTGGATGGCGGGGCCCTAGCCTCCACATTTCGCCAAGTTATCGTGAAGCGGAGGTCGATGCGCGCCGTCGCCTCATCCCCCAAAACGCAACGCAAGGAGTAGAGATTTTCCAAAGCGTTGCGTTCCGGTAGGCCAATCAAAAGCCGAAAAGGAAGGGAGGGTCACGTGCTCGTAAGCAACCGTCGGCAGGGCGTACACGGTACTCTGATCGAATACAAGACCTTCGCTTCTCAAATTTAAATTCTCAAAAAAAAAAAAAAGAAAAAAAAAAGTATTTTATGGACTACGAGCACGGACTACGGGTGTGAACTACTACGGGGGTGAACTACGGGTACGAGAACAGGTTTTTCCGAGGCTGCGATGGTTCAAGCTGGACGAAAGTCACGGAAGCCAGAGGGATCGTACCAAGTTTGGCAACTTGAACACTGTCGCCGGGTGCCGCAATGTTGGTATGGATTTCGCTTACAATTGTGAGCCGTCAACGCAACTGTGTGTGCAAGCTTGGCACATACGCTCTTCGCATCGCTACACGTCCGTTTGCCGCAACTGAGCGCGTCGCGTTCAAACGTAGATGTATGTATGGGCCTCGAGTTCGACTTACCGCCGACAGTCGCCTAGATGCGCTAGCACGCGTCCGTCCGCGGCGAGTGAATCTTTGTGCAGCATACTTGGTATAGCATGCTTACTCCGCAGGCG